CCCCAAAACCCCAAAACCCCAAAACCCCTTCCATAGAAAATTGAAGGATAAGAGAAAAATAGTAACTAATGTAATTTATGCCTTGCAAAAAATTTCTCATTTTAACTAGTATAAACTAAATTTGAAATTTCATGAGTCGCTTAATTTAATTTGATATAATTTTAACTTAGCAAATTCCTTATTTTCAAGCACAAGAAGTGGATTGATGGATCTAGAAGTAACATAAAAGAAAGTACTATACTCTGAAGAATACAAGAATTTCAGAGATGATAAATTTACTTATTTTGACGAAGTCGGCAAATCTTTTCCCTGGATTAAGTAATACACCTAGTTATATGAATTTGATGATCCTTTTTACAAATGGTACCCAGACGGTTTGATAAACGCTTGCTATACTTCATTAGATATTCATATTAAGGAAGGAAGGGGAGATTAAGTCGCAATAATTGCCTTTAATCAGAATACCTAGGCTATGATTAAGCATTCATATTAGGAAACCTATGATAAAACAGCAAAGCTTGCTAGCAGCTTAAAATCTTAGTTTGGACTTAAGGTAGGCGATAGAGTGATTATTTACTCAAACAATATGTTCGAATCTTTAACAATGACATTAGCATGCGCTAGAATAGGAGTTATTTTTCAAGTAGTTCAGCATGTTGATTCAGCTAGAGAATTAGCACTAAAGATTAATGAATTGGAACCAAAAGTTATTTTTACTGTCAATATTCAAGTAAGTCCAGTAGGAGCCGTGCTGAAATCTAAGGAAATGATTGATGAGGTGACGCAATTTATTGAGAAAGATTCTCTGAGATAGGATTTAAGGTATATCTGTGCAAACAATGGTAACGACTATGAAGATACACCTGACACTTGGGTTCGATACGAGGATCTCGTTGGAGAAAATATTTCAGCATGTGAATGTGAACCTCTGTCCCCTAATACTCCCTTAATAATTCTAAACACATCAGGCTCCACTGGGAGGCCTAAATTTATTGTTAGGTCTCACCTAGCTGCCATATCCCCGGCTATATCACTTAGGAACAACTATAATCTTCATAATCAAGATGTTATTGGAGCTTTTACAACTTTTGGATATAGTCTCTACTACCAGTTCTAAAGTTTTGGGGCTTTGACTAATGGAAATTAAATATTATTATATTCTGGAAATGTCACCCTACTTCCAGTTATGGACCTCATTTAAAATCTAAAAATAAAAATTATGCTAGCGTTCTCAATGCCTTTCTAAAAAATGAGAGATAAAAATACCATTCATGAAATTGACAATAAAGAGAATCTGAGATGTCTAGAGAGTATCATTGTCACAGGAGAAAAATCTCCCCCAGAGTTTCTAGATGATCTTAGACGCATCTTCCCTTACTCTAGACTAAGTGATTAGTATGGCACTTGTGAGGCTACAGTCCTTACAAGCAATTTGCTTAATCTTGAAAAGTATTGTTTAAATGAAGGGCAATCATATACTAATCAAGGATGGCCTTTGTTAGGTGTTGATTTACGCCTCTTGGATAATGAAGGGAAAGAGATAACTGAACAAAATGTTGAAGGCAATGTAGTAATCAAGATGCCTGGTCCGCTTACTTTATTGAGTGAGATTTACCAAGACAGAGAAGGGACTATATAAAAATATTACAAAGAATTTCCAGGATATATGAGAACTGGAGATCTCGGCTAATGGGATATTAATGAATGCTTCTAATTTTTAAGAAGGAAGGAGGACATAATTTATGTGAATCATATTTAATGTAGCGCAAAGTATTTGTAAGATATACTATTGTAAGTGGAAGGAGTTAAGGAAGCAATGATTGCAAGTGATTCGTTGAGAGACTTTGCATATGCCTTTATTACTACTGATGAAGGTAACAGATCTGAGGAATACCGTGCAAAATTAATGAAGTATCTCTTTGAGAAATCAAATGGGATCGGTAAACTAGGAGGAGTCATCTTTATCAATAAACTTCCTTAAACTTCTAACGGTAAAGTATCTATGGAATTGATGAGATGTTTGTTGAATAAATTAAGTTTAAGCCATATGACTATTGGAAATCAACTAGAAATAGAAACAATACAAAGACAAGTGGAAGATCAAGTGGGAGATGTAAACAATAGATATTGATATGCATGTATCCATTAAACAATTTTATTCTCAAGGGAATTCAACAAAGTAATATCATCAATAAAAATATTTGATTTCTTTAAAGTTCAAGTTACACAATTTCATTTTAATTAGCATATACCCTCAAAATTTTTATTGCATCAATGGGGTTTTGGGGTTTTGGGGTTTTGGGG